AATTGTCAATGAGTATTAACCCAACTCCAACCACTGAATCTATTGAGAGCCATAGAAGTATAAAGGACATACACATATACACTTATAATAAATGCAGTTGCACCAAGCACATCACATTCTATCACTCATTCATCCATGCTTCCTTTTCCACTCCAACGTTCCAATAATTCCTGCCCACTAAAAGCTGCACGGATATATTTGCTTACCCCGACAGGCCTACCTATATGTAAATGATTTAGAAAAAGGTTATATCACTTTATATCATCGACACGATACGTATTGTCATATCAGCCAGCCCTAACATGCAGTGATGCTTTAAACACATTTGACAAGCTAGTTGATAAAAAAAACAACCGATTAACTATTAAAACTGATTGGCTAACGCTATTTTTCCCCTTGTCAGTGCTCTTTTATTCTTTCATGTTAACTGAAGGCAAATCTGAATGATGCACTATTTTAACTTTAATCAACATGTACAATTGACCATGACATCCTCACCTTATCTTATTCCAGAAAAGTCCTTCACCCAATGCTGAATGGAGTTGTACAGCTGCAGCTCACGTAATGAATGTTGGGGTTGAGAGGAGGGGGCGCGTCTGGACTAAATCAGCACCCTGATAAAGAGGTTGACTGGCACAAAGTATTTTATGTATTTTGAAAATACAAAAATACTAATCTTAAATGCATTTAAATACAAATTACATTTGATTTTTGCCAAAGGCTTTAAAATACAAAATCGTATTTTGTTTTTCAAATATGTATTTTAAATACTGTACATGGATCTGAAATACTGCCCATCTTCTTCTTGCAATAACTTTTGTAACAGGGTTGAATTGTTGAGCTTTATAAATGCAACAAAAAACAATTGGCCTATATGTAGAGCGAGAGAGAGAGTTCACTCCAAGGAACATATTTGTAGATTTATTGCTTCAAAAGAATCAACTGAAATTGCATACTCTTTGATAATGTTTTAAATCGAACCTCTCAAAAGTAACTCCTGACTATCTAAGACAAAAGATGTGTGTCTTTTGCATGGTTGAGCCAAACCTGGACTGCCATGAATTAATAATTTTAGTGTTTCCATCCGGTATATATTCACAAAGCATAATTTGGCTTTCATTGATTTCCTGTCATCTAAATTTTGCCATTTGGCTTGTCAGTAGCCAACTTTGGCGTGTGTGTGTGTGTGTGTGTGTGTGTGAGAGAGAGAGAGAGAGCAGTTTTCTGTCCTTCAGATGATATTGAAAGGTCCATCTCTCTGATGACTGTGGCATCCCTCATGAGCCAGCAGTAGGAATGCTGCACTCGGTCAATAGCATTTTAGCTCACTCTCTCAATGAACTGATCAAGGAGAGAATATGGGCTGCCACACACACACACACACACACACACACACGCACGCACCCTTCAGTTCAGAGAGAATCCCTGCATAAAATTAGTCAAGGCCAAGAATGATCATGTTCACACAGACACCAACAACATGACATAAAACAGATGGTCATGTAAAAGCAAAACACTCATTTCATTAATCAACACTCT